TCCGGGGCTCAGGAACAAATCACTGTCCACGCCACCCACCCACTTCCCAGACTGAGGTGCTTAAGTCTTTCACAAATGGGCACAAAACAGATTTGCATTGAGGCGTGAGCCCTTCAAACTCACCCGAGCAAGACTGCCCAAACATTTATGTCTCCTCAAAAGAGCTGAAAACTGAAAATACAAACAGGCATCTAAAATGGCCTCCATCTGTTTCTGCTAGATGACCTAAAATTTCCTATGAAAACACAGCCCTCCCCCCCCCGGGTCAAAACCTGGGCTCCAGTAAGAAAGAGAAAGAGTTTGCAGAGGACTAAACACAGGTCACCTATGTTTCTGGGGAGTCATTTACTCTCCCATGTCAAGAACAAGACACCTGTGAAAGGTGGTCTCCTATGTGGCTCCCATTCCACTCTTTAGCTCTCCTTCTTGATATCTCTCAATTGCCTCACCACTTTCACAGCTTCCGATGTTAATGTCTCTGTGGATGCATTCTAGATCTGTCCTTCCTGACAGGATAATATTCTCTGTAGTCTGCCATCTCCAAAGTGTAACGAACTTTTCTAGTGCAAACTCTTCCAGCCCTTTGAATCACTTAATTCTAAAATATAAAGCCTATATCCCTGGATGGACATGGCAGCACACACCTTTAATCCCAGCACATCGGGGGCAGAGACAACTGGATCTCTGTGAGTTCAAGGTCAGCCAGTTCTGAATACTGACTTCCAGATAAGCCTGGGCTATATAGTGAAACCTTGTCTCAGCATGTGCACGCGTATATACACACCCACACCTAAACAGATGAACAGAAAACCCGTATTTCCCTCAAAGGCCAGGCTCCTAACTTGCTCTTTCTCTATTACAGATGACCTCTGTCTACAAACTGCTGATGTTGTAATTCACCTTCATCTTTGGTCCTTCCTTTCACCTTCTATCTCCATCTTAACGGCACTCCCCATCACGACCCCATCAGAGTCCACCACAATCACACTCTGTTCATGCTCTCACAATGCTATCAGTCCCACCCAGTCATTTCCATCCTCATGCTATTGTTTTAGTTTAGTCTTTTTATTATGTACAGTTTTCTGACTGCACGTACCCCTGCAGGCCAGAAGAGGGCACCAGATCTCATGATAGATGGTTGTCAGTCACCATGTGGTTGCTGGGAATTGAACTCAGGACCTCTGGAAGAACAAGCCAGTGCTCTTAACCTCTGAACCATCTCTCCAGCCCCTAGCTTAGTCTTTTGCATCTCTCATCTACAATGGCTCTATAAATGATTACCCTGCCCTTTGTCTCCTTTCCAAGGTAGCAGCCCACAGCCTCCAGGTTGTCCTTTATTCTCCCCAATGGAGCCTAAGGTTCAGATTTCTTGTTTTGTTTCTTGCTTATATAGTGTGTGTGTGTGTGTGTGTGTGTGTGTGTGTGTGTGTGTGTGTGTGTGAGTCACACTGTAGCCTAAGCTGAAACTTATTATAGAGCAGGCTGGCATTGAACCCCCAACAATCCTCCTGCCTCTACTTCTCACAACTGGTATTTTACGTGTGCACCTCCACAGAGAGCCTTCTTTTCATTTTTAAAGAAAGAATGTCACACTGCAGACCATGGTGAGCCTCAGACTCACAGCAATCCTCCTGCCTCGGCTTCTCAAGATGAAACATCTAATTACCATATATTGGACAGGCTGTATCATCTGTGATCCTAAAACAATTCTGTTTAAAGTTTACAGAATGTTTTGTGCTCACTCGATCCCACGGTTACTTCCCGCCCCACTTTGCTGTCTATTGCTGTGGTAAACACCATGACCAAAAGCAGCTCACACTTCCACACCACAGTCCCTCTCGGTGGGAAGTCAGGGCAGGAGCTCAAGGCAGAAACCCAGAGGCCGGCACTCAAGCAGAGGTCATGGGTGAGTGCTTCTCGCTGGCTTGCTCCCCACGGCTTGCACAGTGCTTTCCAACTGCCCAGGCGAGCATCACCCACACTGAGCTGGACCCTCCCATATCAACAATCAGTTAAAAAATACCCCACAGACTTACCTACAGGCCAGTCCTAGAGAGGCATGTTCTCAGTTATGGTTTCCCTCTTCCCAAATGACCCTAGCTTGTGTCAAGCTGACAAATACATACATACATGCATTCTTAAATTTTCCCTTAAAATTTTGCCACTTCCATGAGGTTTTCACTGCCATCCCACCCTAATTCTCCCTCCCTTTCTCAGAATTCTAACAGTGCTTGGGACAGAGACTTGAGCCACAAAGAAGACTGAGGATCCGGGAAAGCCCATCATGTCTACATTCATTCAAAAATAGGCCAAGGGTCATCCAACCTGGAAGGAAAGGAATTTGAAAGGCTGGTTTCCAGCTCCCTTTGTTAGATCCAGGGAAGGGTGTAAAAAACAGGCAAACACAGATGAGAAGCCAGGAGTCCTTGCCTAGTGGCATTGTCGTCCCGCACACAGCAGCCACTAGCAGCACAGAGGTCTGCCTGGGATGCAGGAGCTGCAGTGGTGAGGAAGGGGGAAGGGAGAGATGAGTCAGCCCAGCTGAAAACAGAGGTTTTGTTCAAAGGAGCGAAGTCTGTGATGCAAGCTCTGAAGAACAATGTGTTCCCTGTCTCTTCACCCCCTCCCCACCCAGGTGGCCTCCACCTCCCTCTTCCCCCCACACCCTAGTCAGGTCATTGACCAGGTCTCCGGTCAGGTTCAGGACAGAAGTAACTCCTAGGAGCCTCTGTTTTCCACCTCACCATTTCCCACTGAACAACCTTGACCTTCACGGTGACCCTGGCCTTCCCCCTTCTCAGGGGCCAGCAGAAACTCACTATTATTTCCCAGTGGCAGATCATGATCCCTCTGCATCCCCTTTAGAGCCCAGGCCTCATGCTGTGACTCTACAATGCTCACTCCACTGGAGGCAAAGGAAACCTGTTCCTATTGTACTCACCAGCACACAGGCATCTGCTGGGCACTGGGCACATCCTTCTCCATCTAGTTTCCCTTCTGTCCCTTCCTTCTTTAAGGAAGTCCAGACCAGCAGCTTCCTCCCCAGGAAGGCTTCCCTAATCAAGCCATACTCCCTGTTCCAGGCCCTTTGGTATGCGGTGGGCTCCTCCAGCTCGCCATCTCATTGGTGAGCGTTTCTCAAGGTCTAGCTCGTATGGCCTGCTGCCTTCTTACAGCAAGGACTCCTCCTCCCCCTCAACAATATTTTGAGTGTTTTATGTTTGGAATTAAGCATAAAAAGAGTCTGAGTTCCAGAATTATGAAAAATGGAGTGGGTAAGCCGGGGAGGGGAGGGGTGGGCAGGGATGGGAGAAGACCACAAAGACGGGACTGTGGGATGCGGCTTTTGATAGAAGAGGCACCTGGATTTAAGGGCACAATCACACACTTTTCTTCCCTTGTCTGTCTGCACACAGTAGGCTGGGAATCACACAGAGAAATTACACACAGTCTTCCTATACTTCAAAGTCTCATAATGTCATCACTACGATATAATAAATAAGGGACAAAAGAACAAACGGGGAAATCAGGTTATAGGCTGAGATATTAAATAATACTATCCCATCAAAGTCAGAAGTATTATGAAGAATGGAGACCAAGATAACTGCAAAAGGAGAGGGAAGGGTGGAACCTGACCTAGTAGAGTGGGGAGGGGTTGGCAATGGGGGGGTGCAGATCTGACCCCAGTCAGGATGAGACCCAGGAAGACACTGGCTCTCCCCTGCTCTAGAAAGGCATGGTTTAAACAAAGGAGCTTATGGCATGCTTTGAATGACAGGAAAGAGATGCCTTGCCAAACAACATGTGCTCTGCTTGAGAGAAAGCAGAAGGCACAAAGTAGAAGGGACTTTAGCACACAAACCAATGGAAGTAGTGCTTTCCTCCAAGCCCAAACCCCCACCACTCAGCGCTGTAACCCAGGATCACACAGCTCCCTGAAACAGCACTGTTCCCAACAGGCCGGGACTGGCAAGAGTTCACTGCCCTGTCTATCCCATGATCCTTCCCCTCCGTACCAGAAGGCAGAACTTCAAACTCTGCAGCAACTGCCTACCTATGAAAACCTTTCACAACTGTGTCAGTGGAACTGTCAAAGGAACTGTCTGACCTCACTTGGGCTTCTATTCACTGGCTGTGTAAAAAACTTAAACCTTGAATCAGAGATAGGAAGGATGTCCTCCTAACTAGTACTCCAGGACACTAAGGAATGATGGCTAGAAAATTGCTTAAATGTCTTCATTTCAACAAAATGGGGTGAAGTTTGATAGCAGAAATCACTTCCTGCCTGTGTAAATGAGAATTTAAAAAAATTAACAGTCATAGAATTGGTCCACGGATTCTCAGGCCAGCAACAACGTCTAAAAGACCCTTCTCTCCATTCCAGCTTCTAAGGAAGCAAGGAAAGTACTACTTATATATCCCTACTGTGTGTCAGTAGAAGGTAATTGCATGTACAATGTCTCATTTATCTAAGCCATACTCCAGCCCTCCCCTTTCAGGAGGGTTGCTTACGCTTATTTTTTTATTTGCTGCAGAGAAGATAACTTACACAATTTATATCATGTCTTCCTATATCCATTGTTAGGGTTTTTGTTGTTTTTATTAAAGATACTACTTTATGGTGTAATTTAACCCCTGTTCCAAGTGCCTTCCATAATCCTCCTTGCCTTGCCCTTCTCCCCTCGTTCATCCTAGCACCCCGCATACATCTCATACACATGTCCAGAGGTTCCTTCCTTTTCCATTCCAAAGGCAAACACCACTCACCATATACAGACACACTCACTCTCTCTCTCTCTCACACACACACACACACACACACACACACACACACACACACACGATCACACGCATACACACACACACACACCCTATACACATACACACACAGGATCACACGATCACATGCCCCATACACACATACACACTCGCATACCCTATACACACACACACACACACACACACACACACACACACACACACACACAGTAAAAGGTAGGTGAAAAAAGAGGAAGGTAGTTAAGACACAGGCCTGAACCTGGGGGGACTAAGGGCAGCAAGAGAAAGCTACCGGCCCTGTGTCAAGGTGGCTTTGCCTGCAGCTTTTATTATGCATCGATTTTCTTATCCATCTTCTTTAGAGCCTCTTAGATCTTCAGACTGCGGCTGTTTCTCCAAATTGTCATTCACTCCAAGCTCTCTAGCTTCTTGCAGCAGCAATGGGAGGGAGACTGGGGGTGGGAGGAAAGAAGGAGGGAGAAGGCAGTCAAGAGAGGTGAACGCAGGTTGCTAAGTAACCGTTGCCAAGGAGCCAGTACCAAGGAGCATCCCATGCCGCTGCCTGCTTATTCCAACCTCCCCGCTTCCACATCCTCCCCTCACTTAAGTTCTCTCAGGTCTATAAAGCAGCTTAATTCTGTCACCTTCACCAGCTGCAAAAGCTTCTTCCTCAGCTCTTCAGGTGGAGGCTGCAAATCCTGGAGCTTGAGGGTGAGATTCCTTAGACCCAGGCTAGTTTTCATGGACACCTGTGCACAAACATGTCAGTTAAAAAGAACTCAACAAATCAATTTAACCAGAAAAAATAGCACACATGCATGTTGCAGGGGTTTGTTTTGTTATGTTTTTGTAATAATATGCTCAAACGTGAACTGGGGAGACCAGATAGAATCCATCTCTCATTAGCCTGAGACAATTCTATTTGGTCTGAAAGGTTGTGAAGTTCAAGAGCACAAGCTATATCCTCCTGCTCCAAGATCCATTCCAAGCTGAAGTGACATTTAGGTTCTCTGAAATTGGGGTAATTAATTAGGATCATGCATGACTGCCTTTTCAGTTACTGCAGACTCCAGGAAGCACTACCTGACATTTCATAACAAATTTAACTTATCCTTCCTCTTTAATTCAAATAAATATCAAAAGATCCCATCTCTTCAGGGTAGTAGAACAAGGACCAAGCAAGAAAAATCAGTTTAGGTAGGAGTAGTGCCACTGAACTGATCCAATCTAGAATTCAAATTTTGCCACAAATAATCCAGAAAGTATATGACGAGTCTTCCACCAATAAGTCCCCACAGTCATCACCTTTGCGAGGCTGGTGTAGAGGAGGCTAGGTGGTGATCATGGGTTAGCCAGAGATCTCACAAACCTCACATCCTAAACTGGCTGGGGACATTCACTTCACTAAACCCAAGGATCCCATGACAAGCTTCACAGAGCTGTCACAGTGCTCCCAGCCTAGAAAGAGCCTTTGCTTTACTCGAAAGGTTCCAGCCATCTTCCTACCACTGCCAAGAAAAACAGCTGTGTTCTCTGCCCTAGTTTGCCTTTCAATGCTATTCTAATACATACATACATACATACATACATACATACATACATACATACATACGTAGACTGTGGTGGTGCACACATGTAATCCCAGCACTTGGGAGGCAGAGGCCGAGGCAGGTGGATCTCTTTGAATTCGAGACCAGCCTAGTCTTAGGTCTATATAACTAGTTCCATGACAGCTGGGGTTATATACAGAAACCCTGGAGACAGAGAGAGAGAGACAGAGAGACAGAGAGACAGAGAGAGACAGAGACAGACAGACAGACAGACAGACAGAGAGATTATATTGACCCAAACAAACCCTGTCCATGGCTGTGCTGAGAAGGTAGAACTAGAACTTCACTTCTCTAAGCTTCAGACCCTCCTCAGTAAGAGGATAACACCCTATTCTTCAGATCTCCTGTAGAATTCTATAAGGTAGAATACTTTACCTGGACTACTCAGTAAATAGCAGGTGCCAATATTTTCAACATCATGGTTATCCTTGGTCTGTTAGAATTGGGTAAACAGGAATTTGGGAAATGGCTTAGTTGGAGTAGTGCTTTTCACACAACCATAAGGCCTTGAATTCAGATCTCCATCATCTGAGGAATATGCTAGATGCCCTGGTGTGCACCTGCAACCCCAGCTCTAGGGAAGCAAAGATATAAGGTTCCCTTAAGGCTTGCTGGCCAACCAGTCTAGCAGAACTGGGTTGTGAGTTCCAGGTTCAGAGACAGACAGACCCTGCCTCATATAAGGTGGAGAGTTTGGGGGAAGATACCAAGGTCAACTAACATCTACACATCTCTCTCTCTCTCTCTCTCTCTCTCTCTCTCTCTCTCTCTCTCTCTCTCTCTCTCTCTCCAGACAATTGAAAATTAGGAACCCACTCACCAGACATCTCCATGTTTCTGTAACCATTCAACTTCCAATTATCAATGAAGTAAAGCCGGGATGCTAAGTCTCTGTCTAAGGAATAATGTAACCCTGGAAGGTAACTTCCATGGAGGCTAGGCATTACTTTGTCCTGTCTGCCTCCTTACAGATTATCCACTATATCATAAACCCACAAACCAAGAAAAAGAAGAAGCAAGAGTGGGATGAAAAAGCCAAAGCACTGCTCTATAAAACCAAGGAATTCCTTTTGCTCTGACCCCTCAATTTAACCACATCTTATTTAAAACTTCAGGCCCCTTCACCTCAGCATCTCAGACCACCCATGAAAGTCCTTCCTGAGCCTAACCACCATGACTTCTGCTGTAACTAATCTCCTTCCTCTCACTTGCATTGTCTCCAAAATCCTTCCTTTGTACTTCTTCAAAATCATTGACAAAGGCTCAGAAAAGAAATGCAAGTGAGAATGAAAGAAGGTAAGGAGATGAAATGTAAAAAATAAACTAATAAAAAAAAGAGAAAAAAAGAAGGCAAGGAGAGCCTAGTAGGTGATGGGTGGGGGGTTTAGAGGACAAGCAGGAGGGGGCCAGAGCATTTGTAGGATAAGAATTACAAAAGCAAATCAGCCAAAACTGAGTGAGTAAATCATGGAGGGCATGTTCTCCAGTTCCCCAGAAAAAAAACCAGCCTGATGAGGGGGAGATCAGAGAGAGGTGGCAGTGTGGGCCAGTAGGGAAGGACGACAGAGACACTGCTTTGACACTTGTGGACCACCAAGGTGCCCAAGGAGACACACTGCAGAGTGGACACTCAACGCTAGCCTGACAAGGTAAACCTGTAAGATGTGTGTAAAGAGAAGCCCGCCAGCCTGGTTCCAGAGCCGCCTGGTTCCAGAGCCGCATGAGTCCCAAATAAACACATAGGAGACTATATTAATTATGAAGCTGTTGGCCTTGCTTGTTTCTTACTGGCTAGCTCTGACTTAAGTACTCACCCCATAATTGTTAATCTAAGTATTTCTCTTACCAGAGAACAGTTCCAGGCTTCCTACCCCATGGTGGTTACATCTCGACTCTCTCATGTTTCTCCTTCCCAGAATCCTCCTGGATTCCTAGCCCCACCTATCTAGATTCCTATTGGCCAGACAGTGCTTTATTGACATATACACAGGACTTCCCCAACAGATGTGGAATAAAGAAGATGCTGGAGAAACAGGTCAGCAGCCGCTCTTTCGAAGGACTGGAATTCTGTTCCCAGCACCAACACAGCAGTTGACAACTCCCGTAACTCCAGTTCTAGGGGATCTTACTCCCTCTTCTGGCCTCCTCAGGCACTGCGTGCACATGGTGCACTTAAACAACTGAAGATTAAACAGATCCACACAACTAACATTGGAAAGGGGGTCTAGATATTTATTTAGAGCAATCACTTACACGAAAAGCCAGGTCAGCGCTCTATGGTCTCTGAACAGAGGCCAGAATCCAAGAGAGCTTTTACTTTCATTTTCTCCTATATATCTCTTGCCTTTCACATGTCCCTCTGTCCCAAACAGGCGTGGCCAGTATCTCAGGTATGTGAGCTCTCCCCTACAAACATCTGCACAAATGAAATGAAAATAAATAGTTGTTTGTTTGTTTGTTTTAATCAGGGACTTTACTAGTACTCCTGCAAGTTGGAAACAGTTGGGAAAGGATAAGGCGTGAAAAGGAAATCAGCACAGACAGTGAGTTTTCCTAAATTCTTCCCTGCACCATGCCATCCTCTTTCCGAGGAACCCAGAGAGGGTAATTTCTCTCTCTAGTGCCCATCCTCTCTTCCTCCTCCTTCTTCCATCTCCTGAGCATACGATCTTGGGAGAGTCGGCCATATTCACCACATCAGTGCCAACCTTGGCACCAGAAGTTGCCCTGGCCCATCCTACCTACCTGAGACAAAAACCAGAATGCATTGCTCCCACAAGGAGATAGACCCAGAGCTGACTTTTACCAAAGGAACAAGGATGTTAGTGCATCTCAGAAGTGCCTAGGCTTGTCCCCTATTGAATCTGGACTTCTTGTACTTGACAGACAGCTGAACCATCCCCCTGACTCTGTATGGTCTTACTTTGCTTTTTTTTCCCTCTTTCAAGCAATGTTATTTTACTTTTTATTTCTTTTCATTTGTTACTCAGTGTGTGTGTGTGTGTGTGTGTGTGTGTGTGTGTGTGTGTGTGTAGATGTGAAAGCTTGTGAGAATGCTTGCAGAAGAGTAAAATGAGGATGTCAGGTATCCTATCTATAACTCCCCACCTCATTCTTTTAAGACAGGATCTCTTCCTGAACCTGGCGTCAGGCTGCCCAGCAACTTTCCCATCTCATCATCCACAGATAGCAAAGCAGTATCTGTATTGGGAAACGGGAGTGCATAAGGCCACACCTGGCCTTTTTACCTGGGTTTCTGGCATCCAAACTCAGGTCCTCATGCTTGCACAGCAAGCACTGTTGTGCCCTGAGCCATCTCTTCAGCACCAACAATGTTACTCTCTATTGTATACTAAGTAACTTGCACGCACAGCATAAAGCTCCCTAAGAAGGGTCAAAACCAGTCCTAATCTCAGCTTCCGGCTCAAGTGCAGATAGAAGGAATGCAACTGCTCCTGTGTGCTTCTGATTTTAGGTGCAACGTGTGGCTCAGCTTAGACAAGGATTTGTCTGTCTGACTTTAAAGGTTCAGTAAGCACACTCAGGTGCTTGTCCATCGCTGTCCATCAGATGTCTGTCCTGCCTGTGCCCCTATTGAAACAATTATCCTTCTATCTCCTACAACAAACACCTCTTCAAAACTGGCTGTGCCGGTCCTTGATGTCTGGACTGTGGTGTAAAGAGATAGGGTTTCCTTTAACAGAGAAACAGCCTCTTTCCTTATTAAGGTCAACTCTTGAGAGAAGCTGGTCCCAAAGAGGAAGTTGGATGAAGAGAAATGAGGACTACGGCTCCAGTTAAGCAACTTTGCTCTAACTGGAATAATACACACTCAGTGATACAAAGTGTCCACATCCTCTGTGAGAAGAACTATTAACCTGAGCTAAAAGCCAAAGTGGATTACCTCAGCGGGCAACAAGGGCTAAGGGTGGTATCTGTCCTCTGGAGGAGACAAGAGCTAATGTTGCCATCACTTGCACCAAGAGGACAGAAGTAAGACAGTGGTCAGAGGTAAGCCTCAAGAATGGAAAAACATGAAGCTGCTGGGAAATTGGTAGATTGGACGCTTCTCACAATCTCACTGTCTCTAAGTGCAACAGAGATCTAGGAATGTCCAGGGGGGGTCGCTAGAGTCATGCAGGAGACATCTTTCCCACTCTTTGCCTATGTCTCATCTCTCCCCTGCTTCTCACATGGGGGGGGAGCATTATTTCAGAGGCCTCTACCTTGATCTGTCTCCAGGTCTCTAGCAAGATCAAAGCTCTTAACACCTGTTTTGCTCGCTAACATCTAGGCTAAAGAAAAGGGGGCAGGGTCCATCCTGAGGCAAGGGGAGGGTCCTGACTTCCACTCTTCCCAAAGCAGACAACAAAACAGGCTGGAGGCTGGATCAAGGAAGGAGCCAAACCAAGGTTGAGGTGGCAACACGCCCCCTGGTGGAGAGGCTGTTATTCTTATCCTACTATTGATTTCACATTGTTATCCAAATCACAAATGGATAAATGTATTACAGTGTCCAGAAAAGTCTCTCCCCACCTCCTTAAGACAGCTTCCTATTACTTTCTGGTACAAGATTTATCTATTGTGGTCAGATATTTGTCACAATTTGTAATTATTTGGTTGTTTGTTCCCTGGTTTATTTTCTCCTATTAGAAAAAGCTCCATATTTGAACAAAAGCAAAAGCCAATGATTAATAAGATATAATGGAATAAACCTACCATAATAAAAAAAATTCCTGGTATCCTGTCCAGATGTTATTAGCAGAGTCACAACACCCCACCTGCCTCCAAACCTGCCTTTCCCTACAACTAACTGTACACCACTCAGTAAACTTACTTAATTCTCCAGCTCTGAGTAAGCACTATGTAGAGAACATAAAAATAAACAAGGGCCAGGGCTCCAGCTGAGAGAACAGTGCTTGCCCAGCACACACAGATTCCTAGAACTGCTAAAACAAATAAATAAATAGCCCAGGTACAGCAAGGCTGCCACAGACAAGGACTTCAGGAATTCAAAAGGAAAAAAAGAGGGCTTTCTCTGGCTGAGCTTGAGCAAGGCAGCCACAGTGGTGAGGTTCCAGGAGGCTGAAAGAGGCCATTCCAGGGGAGAGACACAGCTACCAGGAAAGAGCTCTGGATTCGGACGCACCATTTGACATTGAACTTATCATGAAATGAAAACCCCATAAGGCTCAAGCTAAGCTGCAAGAACGGGTGTGGGCTTTGGAGAGAACAGGTACGGAAAAAGACCCAAGTCTATGTTCTTGTCCCACTGTCCCTACCTGTCTTGGATCAGGTCTCATTTCTGGAATATGCAGGGTTCAGACAGGGCAGGGTGCCCATTAAGCCCCCATGAACATGTCTCTCCTCCCCCCCACTGAGTTCTTTATTAACAATGAAATGATTTCTTAATCTCATTACTGAGAAAAGCACCAAGCACAGAAAAACATATGCTACACAAATTAAGTTGGGTAATTTGCATACCTGAGCAAAGAGATAAACCCCTCCTCCTTCCTTCTCCAGAGTCAATTTTCCTTGATCTTCTGACATCCTATGTCAATAAATATCTATATTTCCTCATGCCCAGGACAGAAGGTGCTGTTAAATGTGAAGTGTAAAGTTTGTCATAAAGATCAGTCATAAAAGCAATCTCCCTCTGCTAGGTCTACCTTCTGATAAAGTCTAGGTCATCCAGCACCCTGCTTCCAGGAGCATCTCAGACAACCTTTTTGCAAGGTTCCTAGGGAAGTGCACTGACATTCAGCTCCTCTTCACCCTGTTTCTGCAGAAGCCCAAGCTGTTTTTTTTTTTAATGAAACAAACCAGTGTTTAAACAATCAACTTCTCAGTCTCAAGTCTAGATCTCTTAATTAATATAGTCTCAATTTCTCCTTTTCTGGAATAACCAAAATGCAGCCTCCCGCGTGGGTGGGGCCCAGAGAAGGAAATGAGGTCGTTTCTTTGAGCACCTTCACATGGGCCCCAGGAGAGCGAGCGGTGCACAGACAAGGGTTAGCAAGCAGAGGACAAGAAGGCGCTGGCTCTTGGCTGCTGTTTCTCTTCCTCTGCAGACCTCCTCTGATTAGAGCAGATTTATAGGGGCCCCAAAGCAGCCCAGCATCTTAGCCATAAACTTCCCAGAAAGAAAACTCATCGAGGTTCCCTTGAGAGGCGATGAAAAATAAATATCAGGGTTTGGTACAAACACATCAGCCAAGACCAGAGGTGGAAGGGAGCCAGTTCCCTGTAGCTGGTTTAACTCATTCAGGATTTGTACACACGCCATACACAAAAGTCCAGCAAACATATCCTTGTTTATAGACCTACTGAGAAAAGCACAACCGACTCCTGGTACACATTTCCAGTCAAATGCAAGCATGCATGTCTACACTGCATCGATACATAGATGACTTCCAGTGAGCGGCTTTATCCCCTGCCCCTCCCCCTTCCTAGGTTACTGACTCCAGGGTGGGGCACAGTGAAGGTGAGAGAATGTCTGAGTATAAGTTTGCATGTATCACTGTATCTCTGACTACATGCCAAAAAACAAACAAAAAATTTTTCATTATTCACTATTTGGAATGGCACACAATCTTTTAATATACCAGTGCTCTTTGGTGATCAACTATCCGGTGCCGAGAGGCTCTTCTGTGCCAATTTTTAGCTCAGAGGCCAGCAATGTGAGCTTTGCTCACATGGAGTACAAGTGATGGTTTCCAGTCTTGCTTACACTCTCAGAGCCTTAGTCTCAACCTCTGTGAAGTAGCGATAACTATACTTACCTCACAGAACAGTTGCCTTAGCTCATTAGTTCATGCTCATTATGCAGAGCTTTTGGAATGACATATAACACAGAGTATTCAGTGAACCACAGTGATTACTGTTATCATTGTATTCGGCATCAGAGATATAAAGAAGCCACATGGAAAAGAGCCGGCCTCTTAGGCATTCTAAAAACCCTCTGATGAGACTAAGCAGACACATGAAAAGCAAAAAGAGTGTGGAAACCCAAGAAGTTATTTGAGTCCAAAATACAACTGAGTCTCTCTCTCTCTCTCTCTCTCTAGATGCATTTGTTATGTATAGTGTTCTGTCCCCATGTATCCCTGCAGGCCAGAAGAAGGCACCAGATCTCATTTATGGATGGTTGTGAGCCACCATATGGATGCTGGGAACTGAACCCAAGACCTCTGCAAACAAATGCTCTTCCCACTGAACCATCTTCCCTGTCTCCATTCTTTATATTTTCTTTTTTTCCAGAGACAGGGTTTCTCTGTATAGCTTTGTAAACCAGGCTGGCCTCGAATTCACAGAGATCTGCCTGCCTCTGCCTCCTGAGTGCTGGGATCAAAGGTGTGCACCACCACTGCTCAATTTATCTCTTTCTTTTTTTAAGATTTATTTCTTTATTATGTATATAGTGTTCTGTCTGCATGTATCCCTGCAGGCCAGAAGAGGGCACCAGATTTCATTACAGATGGTTGTGAGCCACCATGTGGTTGCTGGGAATTGAACTCAGGACCCCTGGAAGAGCAGCCACTGCTCTTAACCGCTGAGCCATCTCTCCAGTCCCTAATCTCTTAAACACGAGTCCAGTTCTGAAATTTTAAGCCAAGGTTTCCACACTTAGAGGTGTTTATTTCCTTTCTTGTGTTGTCCACATGCCCTTAAAACACCATATATCTTGGAGTGGGCTGGAGAGTTCATGAAGCAGGAAAGACTGTTTTTGTTGTTTGGAGATGGGATCAGCCTGGCTTCAAACTTGTGATCCTTCTGCCCCAGACTCCAAACGCTGGGATTACATGAACCAACATGCCTAGGGTCAAAGAAAGTTTTTTTAAATTATTCTTTTATGTTGTATGTATCTGTACATGTTGGTAAATGTGTACACACATGTGAAGACCAGAGGTCAATGCCCGGTATCTTCTTCAGTCACTCCCCACCCCATGTCTTGCAGTAGGGTCTCTCACTAAACCTGGAGCTCACTGACTGGACTAGACTGTGGCCAGCAGGTCCCAGGGATCTTCCTGTCTCTGATACCTCAGCACTGCAGTTACAGGTGCACACGCTACACTGGGCTTCTGTTGTGTGTTCTGTTCTTGAACTCCAAACTCAGGGCCTCATGACTACCGCATGTGCCATTTTCCCAGCCCCAAAGGAAGATTTTGATAGTTCACTTTGCGCATTTCGATTCCAGGGTGAGTGAGGGCCCTTCTGAAGCCTTCCAGACCAAACTAGTACACCCACAACATGCGTGGCTTCGCTTTCCCTCTTTCCTTAATTGTCCCTATTAACACTGAAAAACATTCATTATGTTCAGTTTCAACACATTTCCCTTGTCATTCATTCTTACTGTAAATAAAGTATATAAAATTCTCAAAAGCTTAAGAAAAGTTCTCAAATGCCCACCTGGAAACATCTCCCCCATTAACTGTGCCTCCAGGTCTCTGGAATTCCATGCCTTATACATTTGTCATTATCCCATTAAAAATCATCACAAGGACTTTTTAAAAGCATTAATTTGACCCCTGCCACTGTATAACCCTTTAACCAAGCAGGCATCAGGTCTCTCCTTAAAGCCTTGGAAAGTTGAAAATACTCGAGTTGCCATTACGGATAGTTAAAAACTCCTACCTCCATCCCTCCACCCCCACAGCTGCCTCAATTGGTATCATTAATATCATCAAATTGTCACTCACTCAATAAGGGACAGTACAACCCTGAGGCGGGGGCATGACTGATATGACCTCCCTAGTCCCTTTCAGTCCATCCATATGAAAGAAGGGAAACAAAATTGGCCACAGTCCCAAACTATGCAATGCCTGCCCCAGGGAGGCCCCTGAGGACCAGACAGACTCCAGCGTGGGCACAGCAGGCATTTTCTCAAGGCAGGCAGAGTGCCAGACCATAGTGACTGATGTGGGAGGCCTGGAGACAGGGAGGTGAGCCAGAACCTACTCTCCTCCCTTCCTCCTCAATTCAACTTTCCCAGCCTGAGACCCTCCTCTTGTGCTCTCAAGTCCACAGGTCTCAGATCCTTCCCTCTTTCTACCAAGTGTCCATACCCCTGGCCTGGTGACCGCACCGACGTTCCAGCCTGGTGCTCTTCGGAGGTTCAAGAGCATGTGGGTCACTCAGTGAGCTTGTTAAAAATGCAGGTTCTGATTCATGAGCCTGAATTATGGACCAAGATTCTACAATTCCTAACGAGCTCCCGGGTGAGGCCCGTGCTACTGTCCCATGGATCATACCCTAGAAGAGGGAGGATCTAAATGATTATAGCAGTTTCCATAACAGTCTCCCAGGAAGAGTCCATCTATCCAATTCCATCTGTCTATCTATCCTCTAGACAGCAATGAGAATCATGCCTCATACCTTCCTGATTCAGAAATCTCCCTCCATGGCACAATGCACAACACAAACCTGGCTCATAAATTGCACAGCAAATGTGGAAAAGTGCATCCTTCACAAGAGTCTCACTCGACCATGGCTTCGCAGGTCCCTGTATCCTAGAATTACTGTCCTGTGTCTTTTCTATCTGCCTATCCCTTTTTTACTTCCCAAATTGCTCCACGGGCACCCTCCTTAAGGAAGTGCCTCTTGCCAAACTCACACCTTCCCCTTTCAAAGAAAGGATGTCTCAGTCCCTTTATAGTTACTAGCTCTTCTAACTTCAGTACCAGGCTCTCACTCTCTCCATTGGGTATGAATTAACACCCCACAAAGAACGGTAGAGGTTCTCACAAGGTTTTACTACCAGTCTCTCAGAAAGGCATCTACAAGATCTGGCAGGAATTTAGGTAATCCTGCTATGATCACCCGGCTGTCACCTGCCCCTTAATGGGAATCTTTCAGAAACCCAGGGAGTAAGAAAGTAGCTTCCCAAATTTTCTTGCCCAGGGAGTAAGAAAGTAGCTTCCCAAGTCTTCTTGCCCACAGCAAATATATTTAAATACAAAGGAAAAACACTGGCTCTTCTGTGCCAATGACAGCTCTAGGAAAGATGCCCACTGTGCCCACGCTGGAGTCGGTCTGGTCTTCAGAGATTCCGCAACGGCAGAGGGTTGAGCTTTCTCTCCACCTCACTATCTCTCGCCCCTCCCAGAATTCCATGGGAATGCAGAGTGGCACCTAAGGAGGTTGCTCCTGGCATTCTCTTGCTCCAGGGGGGTTATTATCACCCCTTGTTCTTTGAGTGAGCTACACTGTTCTCAAGGCTGAGGGAAGTCAGGGGGTAGGACTACAGTTAGCACTTGCTCAGACCAAGATCCCACTAGGATGGGCAGACAGGATAGTTCTCAGGACCCAGACAGGGCTGAAGAAAAGCAAAACTGGGAACAGCAGTGGTCCAGTTCTAGACGACAGAAGGACGGGAGAGCAGCTATCTGTGGAACAGGCCTCCTAAAGGATGACTGACTTTAGGGGAGCAAGATAAGGCTAGCCTTAAAGGAAGGAAACTCCTGCACTGTGAAAATACATAAAGCTGAGGTCAAGCCAGGCGGTGGTGGCGCAAGCCTTTAATCCCAGCACTCGGGAGGCAGAGGCAGGCGGATCTCTGTGAGTTTGAGGCCAGCCTGGTCTACAGAGCTGTTCCAGGACAGCCTCCAAAACAATACAGAGAAACCCTGTCTCGAAAAACCAAAAAAAAAAAAAAAAAAAAAAAAAAAAAAAAGCTGAGTTCAATGCTTCATATGTGCCTAGCACTTGGCTGGGTGTTAAAGGGAGT